TTTAATTAATTTAAACGTTTTTCATGTAAAATAAAGTGGTGGGCACTGGCAACCGTGGGCAGGGGATCAAAATTTTATGAGGTAAATATAATTTATTATCGTTGAAAAAAAATCGAGTAAATTATTTTCAATTACCTATTATACCCTCAAAATAGGTGAAAGTAAAAAATGTTCTCCCCTTTGATAAATCGCTCCTCCCCTCGCCCCTCGGTACTTTCTATATATTTTTCTATCATTTATTCCAACGGCAAAGCTAAAACAGCAAAAAATCTGGAATCCGATGGCGAACTTGTATGTACGGGCGGCGCCGACGACGGATCTGAATCGGAACACGGAGTGGTTCACGTATCCTGGCGTGTGGACCATCTACATCTTTATACTGTTCTTCTCATGGCTGGTCGTGCTTTCTGTCTTTGGCTGCTCTCCGGGCATGGCGTGGACAATTGTCCATCTCTCTCATTTCGCAGTACGTGTTTTTTTTGGCTTCAATTCCGATTAGCTAAATCTGTTTCTGTTAATGCAAGTAATGAATCTGCTATTAACGAAGCTTGGTTTTAGGGCTTTTGTGATTGGGGTTTCGTTTTCTGGTCAATTTCAGGATATGATTGGGGTTTTGATGTTGATATTAATGAAAATAATGATTCTGCTTCTATTAGTTGAGTTTTGCTTTTAGAGAGGAGGTCAGTGTATAATTGTATTTTTGTGGTTCAATTGGTGATTGGGGTTCTCGTTTTCTGGTTCATTTGGAGTCCTTTTTTTTGGATATTGGCGTATTCTGCGTTCGGGATTGGAATTTGAGCTCAATCATTATTTCCCTTAATTTATGTGTGATTAATCTAGTGTTGTTGTTTAGAGTGTTCGGCAGTATTACCACCTGCCGAAAAATTCTTTGTAGGTTGCGAAATTTGTTGGCCTATCCAATTCTACATAAAGCTGTGTAGTTTTGCATGACTTGATGGTAGGATTTGTTTATTTGTTATACGTATTTCTGGTTATTGATTTTAGTAGAGGAGGTTGCAATTGTGGAAAATAGTTCGAAAGTGCGTCAGCTTCCTGTCAAATACATACTTGTTGATACTACATTGGCTCTAGACTAGCCAACTGGGTTTGCATTTTGGGACTCTCTTTAGTCTATTACATGGTGATGCTAACATTATTTTTGCTGTTCAATTCATTGCTGAAACAGAACTTCTTTCAATGTATCAGCGGGATCTGAGCTTGTTGCATATTGCAATTTGAAATTGCACTGCTTAACCTATTCTGCAAGAATCCTTATTTCTTACATCAGAATACATATTGGTACTGATGCATTGAATGGGAGAGCTTTACCTAAAATAGAAATCTTATCTGATATTTGTAAATAAAATGTTACTCCATCTGTTAAAGTTTTCTTTTCCTTCGTACACTCAATGGAACATGAATGGCATGCAATTTACTTAGCACAAGAGTCCGTCTGAATAAGAAGAAATGAACTCTGAAAGTATAGGATTTGATGATCGTTCGCAGTTAAACTTTGGCTTGAGTTTCACTATGTTGTATAATATTTTTATGCAGTGGGGTTGTATACATTTTTTGGTCAGTTATTATCACAGGACAATGCACCAGAAAGCTTTTAATTTCATTAGTTTTTTTTTTTTTTTTNNNNTGTTTTTTTCCCTAGGGGTTATAGTGCTTTTCTTCGAGGCACTTTACGTATAAAATGGTGGATTTCCTTGTTTTATGCTCAGGTCACATATCACTTCTTTCATTGGAAGAAAGGCACACCTTTTGCAGATGACCAGGGTATTTACAATAGATTGACTTGGTGGGAGCAGGTAGACAACGGCAAGCAGCTCACCCGAAACAGGAAGTTCTTGACTGTTGCACCAGTGGTGCTGTAAGTCCATCTCAGTTCAGACCTTTTGTGTTGCATTTATCTTATAATTTTGCTACTTGATAGTGCCCCTGGTCAGCACATGTGTCTTTAGTGCTGTTGATTACTTTGGCTTTTGATTCTTGTTTTTATAATGTTTTTTCCTCTCTTATCATTCGTGAGTCGTAAAGGTCGTATCATCAATCTGTTATGGTCCTCTAAGGTTGAGTTATTGTATTGTTGAGTAATTGAGGTGGGTGGTTGTTTGATGGAATATGCTGTATGTTAAAAAAAAAAAAGGTGCAAGAAAATATCTGGTGGATAGGTAACATACTAGATTTCTTCTTTAAGATCGATAAATTATCATTTCTTTTTTATGTATTTTTCCCTTTTGTCAATATACTAAAAGAAATATTCTCAAATATTTGTACTCATAATCTAGAAACTTTGATTTTTCTCTCACCCATATATTCTACTTTAAGATCAATTATCAAATCAGATGCCTTTCCATCGATCTCTTCCTCAGGGGAAAGGTTTTTTGTCTTTCTTCCCATCAACTCAGTATCAAGTTTACTCCGGTAGTAATCTTTTGTTTATATCAAGCCTATTTTGTATCTTACAAATATCAGTAAGAGTTTGTTAGCCTAAAAGCAAAGTTAGTTTGAAATAGTGGCCGAGGTTGTATTGCTTCCTTCATATTTCCTTCAGTACTACTGTGTCATGGTTGAGTTAATGAATTGTTTGATTACAATGATTTGTCTTTTTTATTCAGTTTATTTATTGAGATATGCATACCAATACCATTATGTGTGTTATCCATCATGCCCATGAACTCGACATTTACTTGCCTTTTGGATTCGTTTTGTCTCTTTGTTGGTCTTTTGTTAATAAAATTGTCAATGCAACATAAATTAAGTAGAATCGACACCTACACTCTGATTAACATAATAATATATTTTGTGTTGTTTATTGTTCTTCAGAATGATCAAACTGTTGCATCCTGGGTTAGAAAACTGTATTTTTTGCATGCCAAATATAGGTGGATAAGTTTCTTGGTTCGAGGTGTTATTCTTTAGGGTGCCTGTAAGTGTTACGTTAATTGCTTGCACTCAGGACTTGTTACCAAAATCCTTTGGACTTTTGTGGAAGAGTTTTAGTACAACAAGATCTGGTTATCATTCAAAATTATGAATAGCCTGTTGACATTTTGTTCTTTCTGCACCTTGAATCGTTGATAGGTGAGTAATATCTTGGAAAATACAAATTGGGTGTTTCCGATACTTAAAATGGGGATATTTCTACTATTGATAGATAAGATCAAACTTCAACAATAGTTGCAGTTATCGTTAATTCGCTTTAACATGTTTACGTGTATCTTTCATCTGTTTTTTTGGTAGCTAATAGCTACATTGATCAGTTTAATCTGGGTAGTGCGTCAATTACATGTTTTAATAAACTTCTGACTCTGACATATTTGTGGTCTATAGTAGCTTTTTTTATTTATTTATTTATTTTTTTTTTTTTCCTTGTTAACACGAAATTGTGGCTTAAGATATTATGATGAATGTATCTGTAGCAATTAGCCGAAAATTGTTCTCCAGATGCTTATAATTGCCCCCATTAGATACTATTCCTTCAATGTGATAATGGCCTGTACAATCTTGCGTGAATTTGGTTGTTGGTTTGGCTTTGAGTAATTTATTCAGTGAGCAAATGCGTGAGATGAATCCTTGTGCTAGTACATTGCATTGGGTATTCCTTTAGACAGATGCATGAGAATTAGAGTAAATATTCATATCTCATTTTTTCCCCCTTTTCTTCCACACCTTTTGATCTAATTTAGTGTGATATGTGAACTCCATTTTACATGACATGGTTTGCTTTTGTATATATCTGTCACAAAAACTTATTTTCTTGTTACTATTTTACATTCGAACTCTGAAGTAATATTCTGTTCTCTTGTGACAGGTACTTGATAGCCACTCACACTACGGACTATCAACATCCTATGCTATTCTTCAACACAATTGCTGTTTTTGTTCTTGTCGTCGCCAAGTTTCCTCACATGCACAAAGTTCGTATATTTGGAATCAATGCCGATCAATGAGCTTCCGATTCATTGATATCCTCCACCCGTACCTCCAATGTTTTTGTCGATACATCACACTATGTTTGTGGAACTTTGGAAAAGTGGAATAGATAGTAGCATCACTTTTTCAAATATTAAGTGCTACCTTTGCTGGTCACTCCTTGTACAAACTTTTTTGTACAAGTCTGTCTCAAATTTTTGCACAAGCTATTAATTTTTCTTTTTCTTTTTTAATTTTGCTTTCACCTTCATACCTAGCAGAAACATAAGCACAGCATGTTTTAAATTATATTTCAATTTTCCCACAATTCATTATACATTTATTAAAGCAGTATAATTATAATAATTTTAATATACTAAACATTAGGTGTGTATTTTAACTCTATTATTCATTTGGAATGCTAAAATAAATAAAATTAATCCCCGAAAAATGAGTGTGAAGGTCCTCTGATGCGAGTGAGGGCCGTCAGCTGAAGAACGCGTATAACCGGGCTCGTCGAGCAAGAATGAAAATGCAGAAAAATGGCAGTTGCCCAGGTGCTAGTGCCGCTAGTACCCCCAGCGGCGCTAAGGTTGGCGAGGCACCCGCGTTGAGGGCCTTAGCGGGCGACAGAGAGTTGGCCTAAAAAATTGAAACGCTAGTTGTTTTCAGATCATTGTACGAACTATCTATATCTTTTATTAATTAACTCAGAAACGCTTGTTCCCGAGCACACATCCGCTTCAAAATCAAGGGCGTAGTGCAGGTTTTGATACAAAATTTGATACTCGATACACGATGTTCTCACACAACATTAAAATAGTGAAGCCCGTAAAAATTGGGCCACGCCCAGTTTAAAACGTTTTCACACAACATTAAAATACCGAAGCCCGTAAAAATTGGGCCAAGCCCAGTTTGAGCTTTACTGGACTAATTCTTCATCTGATTACGGGCAAATGAAAAAGAAAAGAAAACTCACACCACTTGGATGCCCCTTTCCTCAGTCGGAGCTCGAAACCTCCATTACATTTTCAGATCGCCGGAACTAATCAGCTGTTAATTACTACTCAGATCGTCGAATGGCTTCATCACGGGCTCTCAAAAGGCTTCTCTCATCATCGACCCGCTCTCCGAATCCCTTCCTCCGCCAGTCAGCCGCCTCGTGCGACGCTCTCAATGCTTCCGATCGTCTTCTGGACCATCGCCGCCACTTTTCCTCTTCAGGTACCTTCAGAACCTTATGCAGTCTGTCTGTTCTTCTGTTTGTATAGTCTTATCGCTTTTAGATTCTACTGTGCTCCTGTTCATGGTCAATTGGTACGGTGCACAAAAAAAATAATAATAAAAATCATTTATTTTTTCCTATTAACTTGGGTTTTTGATTTGGGACATTGGATCGTGTTCGTCTTTAATCTTTGTGTCAATTTTCCGTTTTTGTTCAAAGTAAGTAAAAGATTAGGTGAATCATACAATAATTTCACTATTGGAGCATTTGTTGGGTATACTGTATAATGATAGGTTTGATTCCTTCGCTGGAACTCACCCAACGGTAATAAACCCCATGGGTATGAAGGAATTATCATTGTCAAAATTTGCAGTTAGTCGTGTTTCACCATGTTTTAAATGGAATGTGAACTGTTTGTGCATTGATGCAGGTGGGTTCGACCCGTTTTCTTGGAGGAGGAGAATGAGCATGGGCCAATCGAGTCAATACTCTTCGGTCTCATATGGAATTGGTGATGTGGCTGACACTAATAAAGAGGAGAGTCAAAAGAAAAACGTGCTCCGCCCATTATCTCCTCACCTTCCCATCTACAAGCCCCAGCTAAGTTCGACCACCTCAATTCTCAATAGGATATCTGGAGTTTATCTCTCGGCTTATCTTCTGGGTTTCTATCTTGTACCAATAAAATTGGGTGCTGTTAGCTTCAGCTATGAAGGTTTCTATCAATTCTTGTTCTATTCATCCAAACTAAGCCTTTTGTCCACTGAGATTGCTGCCTTAGCTTTTGCTTATCATGCTTATGCCGGGGTCCGTCATCTGTTGATGGATGTCTCCGGAACTGTTTTCCCAAGAAAATGAAACAATTGCATAGAACTTTTTCACCGGATATAATAGTTTTGGGTTTGGATCTTGTAATAAATATCATCCTGTGAAGTTTTCCTAGCTTTTCTGCACCTTTAAGCTGGCGCTGTTTGTTGATTGAGTTGTTTGAATATTGGTGATAAATGATATATATCGAGACTCTGGCTGCCCTTTGTCATTCCAAAGTTTTATATTCTTTGTTTGATATCCATTATTAGCAGTTTCTGCTCATGTGTTGGTGCTGCTATTCCTTCTTAGTGCTCGAGATGCATCTCTTGGCTGATTTTCTTCCATATGTTATTTCTCGATAATCTGCGTTAATATGATGGTTGTGTTTATATGAAACGCGACCAAGATTGGCTTGAATTTGGTGAAAGTAAAGTGCTTCTTCTTTGCCAGGATACATTTTTTTTTCTTTTTTTTTTTTTCTCTTTCTTTGTTCAATTTCACTGCAAAATGGGGTCACCATGGGAGTTACGTTACCTTTTAAATCTGCAGCAGATTGTATTATGGTGGAAGATGCATTGCGAAATAGATAGTTTTAAGTTCTAACAACCTTGTGAAGGCATTCTTAGTATTTTCTTCTTTCTTTCAACAATTTCGGTAAGAGATGACGAATGGGCCGAATCGCATCTAAGCCTATCATGACAATATTTGATCTGAATATTTGATTTCTTCATTGTACTCCTTTTCTGCTTCAACTCACCAAATAACACACTTCCTACTAACTCCTTTTGTGGTCGAAGGATGACCCGGAGAACAACTATGGTCATTGTGTGGCAAAGTCGAGCAAACCCTTCTTGCACCTTAAGATATGAAATTATTTGCATCACATGCCTTGCATGCAAATGTATTATCATCATCAATTAACATGAAAGAGACGTGCAATTATATCATCAATTATTTTTGCCTCGTGAGATCATCACAATTCATCTGTCACCTGCTATGTGCTCATTTCTGGAATATATTTTTTACCTAAATTTTGTAAGTTCTGGTAGAACCACACACTCATTGTATAATATGTCGACATGAAAGTGATTCATCGATGATCAATGGCACCATTTCCCTTTTATTTTTACTTTTATTTATTTATTTATATATTTTTCTTGCTCTCATCACCCCTTTACCAAAATAGGAGAAAGCATAATTGAGGGTAAAATTTGGAAACCATTTAAAATGGACCTCATTCATTTTCCCACTTGAAATAGACTCATTTATTCAATACCATAGACTGTTTATAGCATCCCCTAATCCTTCAATAGGGTTTGTTTTTACATTAAAAATTCACCCAAATTTGTTAGCAAATGAGTGGATGTCATTTGTGAGCAATCTAACAGAGAATTTTATCTATAGATTTGATAAATAGATTCATTGTTTGATTTTAGAAAAAAAAAAAATGTTTGATGGAGAAGGAATACATTTCCATGGATTTTTTTCTCCTATTCTAATACTAAACTGCATATTTATTTCATCAATTAATTGATAAATTTTGGGATCAGGTCACCTAATATATGAATCTAGGCCGAACTCGAGCTTATGAAATTAGTGTTCGAGCTCGAGCTTCAGATATTCGAGCTCGACTTATTTACTAATATTAACGAGCCGAACTGTAAAAAATTACATAAAATTTTCTATTATTCGACCTTAAATGAGTCGAATTCGACTCAGCTCGATAATTAAGCGAGCTTAACAAACTTGTTAGAAAATCCCCCTGTCCTTCAATATGGTTAGTGGTCACATTAAAAATTCTCCCTAATTTGCTAGAAAAACCAGTGGATGTCATTTGTGAACAATCTAATTACAGAGAATATTATCAGCAGATTTGATATATAGATTCTTAGAAAAAAAAAAAAAAAAATGTTTGATATATGTAGATGGACAAGGAATACATTTCCCATGGATTTTTCTCCTATCCTAAATTAAACTGCAGATTTATTTCATCAATTAATTGATAAATTTTGGGATCATCAGGTCACCTAATATATGAATCTAGGCCAAACTCGAGCTTATGAAATTATCGTTCGAGCTTGACTTATTCACCAATATTGATGGGATAACCTTTTACATAAACTCTTTTATTTTTAGACCTTACCAAAACTCGATTCGGTAGTTCGAATTCAACTTGTTAATTTGTCATATCGAACCGAGCCGAGCCTAACTGTATTCTTTATACGTGATGAAATCGATCAGTTAGTGGAGGTGGGGAAGATTATTCTGCAGCACACTTACCAAGGAGAATGTTTTGTAGGACCCATTTGAATGAGCATAAGAGGGTTAGGTTTGTCAGGTGCTTTCTCGATCTCTCAAAGTTGAAAGTGAAATAGAAACATGGGGTTGGGAAGTAATCATCAAGCCCCTTGAAAATAACATGCAATTCTTCATGTAAATTATTGTTATTTTTTTTTAAAAAAAAAAAAAGAGTAAAAAAACAATATAAATAAATGAGAAGAATTGGTCCTCTATTTTTATTTTTTAATTTTTTTTTTCATTCATATTGGGTTGGTGATTCATTTCACTGCAAGAAAAATGATAAAATTTTAACGGAAATATATTTTAATAGAATTATTCCAACGACAATTATTTCAATGTTATTATTTTTATTGGAATTTTTCAATGGATTCAAAAGAAAATTCCAACAAAAATATTTCGTTGAGTTTTTCATTGGAATTTCTGTTGGATTTTGACGATTCCGACGATAGATTTTTTAATAGGAGTGGAAATAAAAATTCAACGGAAATCGCATATTCCATCGGAAATTCCTAAGGTAAAACGCCATTAGAAATATAGTCGTTGGAATCATCAAATTCCATCTATAATTCCAATAGAAAACACAACCCAATAGAATATGTTGTTGGAATTTCCTTTGGAATCATTCCAACGGAAGCTATACCATTGAAATATCCGCTGGAATTTCTATTGAAATATATTACCATAAGATTTTTCAGTTGGAATCTAACAATTTTTTTTGTAGTGTTCGATTGCTGTTAATTTTATTTTATTTTTTTTCACAATTTATGTACAATTTATATTCAGTTTTTTGTACTCGTATGACTCCAATTGATATGATAATATAGTTTGTTTAGTATGTCAACAAGGTTTGTTAAAATTGCATTTTAGAATGTCTTTTGGTTTTTTAAATTGCATTTTAGATGTCTTTTTATAGCTTAAAAAACCTCCTTTGATACTTACAAGAAAGCTCTTTATTTCAAAATGCTATCTCCGCTTCAAGCCAATAATTTTGAATAATTTTTCTTAGTTGTATTTATAGAACAAATTCTCAATTCGGACCATAAAATTCATTTAACAAACTTCCAACCAATAACTTTTTATATTACAATTTTAGTCTTGTATGTTTCACTATCCTAATTTTATCGTTCTCTTTGAATTGCGTATTTTATTTTCGTCCCGTATGTTTGCAAAAAAAAAAAGTTACAAAAAGTTATTTTCGCAACAAAAAAGTCATTTATATTTTGCAAAAAAAGATTCCAAATTTACCCCTTATATATGAAAAGGACATTTTTTGTAACTTTTTTGTAAACATATGGGACGAAAATAAAATCGTTATTCGAAAATAACGAAAAAATTAGACAGTGAAATATACATGACTAAAATTATAATTTACTCTTAAACTTCCAATCTGTTAACTTTTTTGCTTGTTCGGGTTTCATTTAATTTATATTTTTCAGTTGCATTTACCAAATCTCTATTATCACACGTAGACAAATGTAGGCCCATCATGAATTATTCAAACTTGGGCTTTTTTTTTTTTTTTCTCTCTCTTAGGTATCACGTATTGTAATGTTGAATTTATTGCAAAATATAGTGAATATCTTGTACGCAGTGACAATATTTGTCACAATTTTTACGAATTGACAATATTAGCCAACAATTTTCAAAATTTCAGGGTTATTACCCATGTCTGACCAAATTCGATGGCTACTGTTGTCACTGCGTAAAAAGATATTAATTATATTTTGTAATTTATATGTCGAATTTGATTGGATTTGGGTAATGATCTCAAAATTTTAAAAATTGTTGGCTTATATTGCCAATACACAAAGATGGTGTCTACTATTGCCACAGCGTACACATACTCACTATATTTTACACTTTAGCCCTTAATAATTTGCCTATGATGATGGCTAGAATTTCTGTGTTTAATTGTTCATGGGACAACCTATAATTTATCAAAACATGTTCAAAGATAAGTATATATACCAACAAATCAAATTAAATAACATGCTTGATGCAAACATAATTATATATATAATAATTAACCAAACATCAACGTTGTACATACATGTAATAATTAAAATAACCATCACTAATAGTACTAATACATTTTTAATTAACATAATACTTGTTCAAATTTACCAATATGATCCTCCACCCATAACTCCAGTAGTAGCACTAGTCCAGCTGAAATCCCCGGCCGAATCGCCATTTCGCAGCACCTGGAAACTCCCGTAATTGCTATTTCCAAACCCTGACGACGAAGCATCGCCTGGAGTGGCGTTTGCAATATTCAGCCCCAAGCCGCCGCAGGCTTCGTAGTTCGGGACCCGAATCAGCTCATCTATGGCCCTGAAGTCACCAAGATGATGTTCTCGGCTTCTAGGGTTTTGCATCGACAAATTATTATTATTATTGTTATTGTTGTTGTTTTTGTTGTAGTTGTTTGAGGACTTTTTGTGAATGTTCTTTCGGGAGCCTCCGCCAACCGGAATGTTCCGGAGGGATCCGCCTTGGGTCCAGTACCTCCGGCACGACTTGCAAAAGTGTCGGGGCTGCGACAGGCTGTAGTTGTTGTAGTAGCAAAACTTGGTGTTGGTGGAGCTGCACCGGGGGCAGCTGATCACGGCCTCTTTATGGTGGTGCTGCTGTTGACCCCTTATAATAATCTTCCTTTGATCCACTATTGGTGCATTCACTATCTCCTTTTGGAAAATGATCAATAAGCCAATTAGTTCAGATCAATAATTATGAGGATCAATTTGTGCAAAGAACTAGTAATTGTATATAATTTAGCAATATATATGTATATAACAACAAATTTGATATCTCTAATATTCAATACCATACATGCAATTAATCACACATTTTGAAAAAAAAAATAAAAAATGCATGAAAAAAAATAAAAATATGAAGAAAAAAACAGTCACTTGGTGGGGACTTATATAAATTAAGGATGTAGAAAATATGGAGAATTATGGGGATGTGTGTGTGTGTGTGTGTGTGTGTGTGTGTGTGTGTGTACCTGAGGCCATTGAGCATTTTCCATGGATGAAAGGAGGGAGAAGAAAAAGAGAAAGGAAAAGGAAATTTTGTTCTTTGTAGGTCTTGGCTAAAAAGGAAGGAAAAAGAGGAGAGCAAAATGTGATGTGTGGGTGTATTATATATCTATGTGCCTAGAGTTTTTGTGTGCTAGAGAAATAAAGAGGGAGAGAGAAGTTATATAATTAATTAATATTGTATTTTTCTTTTATTGTTAGTCACTTTCTTTTCTACTTGATCTTTGATTAGATCCTCTCCCTATATCTAGACAATTTTTATATTATTAGCCTTGTTAAACCTTGTCCATCTACCCAAAACAAAATCATTGTTCTAAAAATCAGCCTAGGCGGCCGCCTAGGTGGCGCCTAGGCGCTAGGCAGTCCCGGGCGCTTTCGATTTGCACAAATCGACAGAAAAAATCAGTCAGGCGGCTAGGCGCGCGGCGCCTAGGCGAGCCTAGACGCTCATAGGCGGACTTGGCATGCTCGGCGGCTAGGCGGACCTAGGCGGATCTAGGCGCTCCTAGGCGGGCTCGGCAGTAATTTTTTATTTTTTTTTTAATTTTTTTTAAATACTAATTACGTTATTTTGTTTTCATGTTTTCTTTAAAATATATTAATATTATTATTTGGACTTAGATATGTCGATTTATTATAAGTTGAGATAGTTTTATTTTGTAGGTTGTTAAAATAAATTAAAAAATAAGGTATTTAATATTGATTTCTAGGTCCTGATTAGGCGCCGTCTAGGCCCTGTCTAGGCGCTAGCGCTGGTCGAGCGCCTAACGAGCGCCTAGCGACTTTTAGAACATTGAACAAAACTATGCATTGGGAAAATTTTAATAGTGGATTAATATATACATAGCTATATGATTATATGGATATATGTGTATGTAATCTGACGGCTCAAAATTTAATGTGAAAGTACATGCACACGATATCGGTTGGATCAATTTAGCTCGCAAAATGAGAATAAAATCAATCGTGCTCGATTTTTTACTATCCAAGAATGTCTCGATTTTTTACTATCCAAGAATATAAAAATTTGATGTGGATAGAGTGCTTTCGTTGAATCAAATTTAACCACAATGTGAGCTATAAATATGCAAGCTGCAATTATAAAAATCAACGTCGTACTCCAAACAACATTATAAACAGAAAAGTATGACATTTGATCGTATAAATATTCATTTTTTGTTCACTTAATATGATCAATCGACCTGTCTAAGCGTATCACACAAAAATATGTAATATATTCTTTTTCATTTTAACCCTCTAATTTTGATGGCTTCACAAAAGTATTTTGCTTTATTAGATTTATAATGAACATCGTAATATGCTCCTTTGAAAGCATATTTTGAGTTGTGACATCGATTAATTTGATTTTACAAGGACTATATATATATATATATTAAAGAGGGTATAAAATAAAATTAAAAAAAAAAACATTTGTAATAGTTATAAATTGTTAATTAGGATGATGCATCAAATCAAAAAACCATAATGGATGATGCCCAAGAGATCTCCATGACTCTCAACACTACGTAGACACCACAAATATCAACCAAATTAAGATGCTTTTACACCTCACATTAAAAGCTTTAGTGGCCATGCCCGACTTGCCAAATTGGACGGTTTTGCCCCTCCAATTCGGCAAATTGGCCAACGAGTCATAATTATTAACCACAGTTTTAGATCGAGATCACAGATAACACAATTCGCTTCATTTAGGGTACATTTGATTTTCTTAAGCGTTGGTTCAGAATTTGATCTGCCATTTTTTGTTCTAAACATCATTTTGAACCGAATTGATACCAAAACTGGATGATTTTTTTTATCAACTAGTATAGAACCGAGATCGAAATTAGCTAGTTAGCCTGATTTGTTATGGTTCAAGAAATAGAGTTCCTCCGTGTTTATTGAACCAGTAGTTCTACCGAGCAACCTTAACACGCTCACCGAGCATCAATGCCGCCCATTTCCTAATCTATTTAACGACTTTAATTACAAGAATAACTACATATCTATTATGCAATTTTTCGATTTTTAGATGTCTAAGTTGAGTAGATTAGAGTATAACTACTTGAAGATGCTACAATAAATTAGGGTCGGAATTCACTTGGTTTTATTAAATTCAGGGCTTTTGCTCGCTTTCTTATTAGTTGACTAGTATTCAACATTACTAACTTTGAATGTTCATAGCTTCTAATTCAACCTCCAAACAGACCTCTGGGCAGCTCGAAGACGGGCCCATTGGGCTGATCCGTGAAAGGGCCACGGGTACATTTGGTGAGTATAATGGGTCAAAAGAAGTCTTTTTGGGCCGATGGAAGATGGGTCGAAGTAGAGACTAAGTGGACACCGATTGCTAGACTACTAGTTATAAAAACACTAGATTTCATACCATATAAACAAACATAATCGAAAATAAAATGATAAAAAATAGGTGAACCAAATTGCAGCTGCTTTTAAGATTTGAAATAGGCTCGCAACGAATTGTAATCACATTGAATTTTTGTTTGACTTTTTATTTGTTTTATGTTAAATAGGTACAAGCTTAACCAAATTGGAATTTTGCAGCGAGATGGAAAAACACGTTGGAGTTTCCATTTTGAGTCTATTTGCAGTATGATAGACATGTACCGTTCTGTGATTATCGTGCTCGAGCATACGACGGAGGAAACATATTCTAATTCTATACGTGGGGAAGTTACAGGTGATTTAATTGCGATGAGATCATTTGATTTCATATTTATCTTATTTTTTATGCACAAGACTATGGCGATGAATTTATATTATTTTTTATGCACAAGATTATGGTAATTTTATCCGAATGATTTATGTGGGCAAGAACTACATTATTTGAGGAGTCAATTAGAGCATTATAAGTTTGATGTTGTCTAGCATGAGAGGTTCCAAAATATTTCTACCATTTATGATTTATGTCGGCAGTTAGTAGAGACGGAAAAGGCAAGACATTATCACTTAATTGACTGATTGATTCATCTCATTTTGACGCTTTCTGGTTCTACTGCCACAACCGAACGATCATTTTCAACTATGGAACTTCTCAAAGCTCCTCTTGGAAATAAGATGGAAGAAGATTTCTTAGAGGATTCAATGATTCTCTACATCGAAAGGGAGTTTACTTCAAAGATTGACACAAATTCAATAATTGACGAGTATTATAGTATGAAGAATCAGAGGGCGCATCTTAGATAGGTAACATTTTCTTTTACCTTTTTAAATAGTTGTAATGAACATGAAACATTTAATATGCATTTGTTAATTAAACTTATTTTCTATTTTTTCTTTATAAATTTTAGCAAAAAATTTAAATTATTTTTATAACTTATCAGCCCAGGGTAATATATTTTTTTTTTTTCTGGCTACACCCCTGGTCTTGGGTATGACTCCAGTGTCGATACGTTTGGTGCGGCTTCGCTTCGAAGACTTCCAAACCAGGGGAGAATGATGCAGATATAATATTAGTATTAAGGATAAAGTTATTAGTATTATTATTATTATTATTATTATTATTATTATTATTATTATTATTATTATTATTATTATTATTATTATTATTATTATTACTATTATTATTATTATTAGTATTATTATTATTATTATTGTTTAATATTACTATTTAATACTCTCTCCTATTTTTAATAAGTGTCGTTTCGAAAAGTTGCACAGTAATTAAGATTTTTTTGCCAATAATAACCCTCATTAATTAGGATAGAAATGAATGTTTTGAAAAAAGATGAAGAGTGAATATGAAAAGACGTAGTCTATTTATTAGCTAGATAAAATTAATAATGGAAAAATATGTACAAAAGATCCAAAACGTCATTTATTTATTTAATTGTTGATAAAGCCAAAATGACATTTTAAAAAAAAAAAAGGAGGTAGCTAGTATTTAGTAAGAGATTTTGTATTGTTGGACAAGTAATTATGAATAGAATTTAATAGTCTTATTTAAAATACTCTTATGCTTCATTGTGAGAGGGGGGATTTTGAATAAAATGTGAATTGATATCGTGCATATGTGTTCTTAACACTGCGATCTCATTGATATCGTCTCACTCGTACGCTTCACTACATCAATATCCCCCTATATACAATTTCCGAATGCGCTGAGCCTACGTGGTTGCTTCTGGTGCTTCGGAATCCTACTTGGAGAAAAATCATGCTTCGTAATTAGGTTTGGACAAATAATTATGATATGTTAATAATTAATAATCTAGGTTCGGACATTCCATAAATATTATTTAGCTAACTTAGATTTTTTAGTATCATTTGTACTAATATAACCCTTTAATTATTTGTATTTCACATAGTGAGACACTAAGTGACTAATATATCCCCGACTTTTGATTTGTTTTTTTTAATTAGTTATTGAATTGTAAATGTATTTTATAAGTCGATAACTTTTGTATTTCTTATCGATTTTACATATATAATATATCAAATTAATCATCTTTTGATGATCTTCGATTTGACATCCAAATTGTATATATTAAATAAATAAATTATATTTATCTTTATAATAATAAATAATAATAATATTTATTCAAATTCATTATAAATATAAAAATATTTCTCAATTGATATATTTATGTTTAATGTAGTTATATGTTCTAAGTTAAAAATATTAATATAATATAACACAGGTAAGTCACACAAATAAAAAGTATCATACTAAATATATAATAATATATATTTTTATAAAAGATACTTAAATTTTCAACTACTTTTTCTCATTAATTTTATATTTTAATAAAAAATTAACAAATACCTGTGTAATAGACGGGCGTTGTACTAGTGTAATACAAATATTTTGATAAAGTATAATTGAAATGCATCTATTTTTTTTTTCTTAATATTGAATATTAATATATACAAGATTATACTACCTTGTATGCATTGACGGATTTAGAAAATTTATTCAGGGGGCCCAATTTTAAAAGTTAAATAACAAATTTATGGTTTAAGTCGAAATACTCAT